CAGCAGCCCACCAGGCCCCCCTGTCCACAGGATTCTCCAAGCAAGAATACTGGAGTGGGTTGACATTTCCTCCTCCAAAATATGCTATACTAACGCATATATATGGAATCTAGAAAGATGGTACCGAAGAATTTATTTGCAGGGCAGCAATGGAGAAACAGACATAGAGAACAGACTTATGGACATACAGAGAGGGGAGGAGAGGGTGAGGTGTATGGAGCGAGTAACATGGAAACTTACATTTACCATATATAAAATAGACAGCCAATGGGAATTTGCTATATGTCTCAGGAAACTCAAACAGGGGCTCTGTATCAATCTAGAGAGGTGGGATGGGGAGGGATTTGGGAGGGCGATTCAAGAGGGAGGGGGCTGATTCATGTAGAGGTTTGACAGAAAACAACAAAATTCTGTAAAGCAATTATCCTTCAATTAAGAAATAAAAAAAGAAAACACAATAGCCCAGATACAAGAAGCAACGTTGTCTACTGACAGATGAATGGATAAACGTACAACACACACACACACACACACACACACACACACACACGAATATTACTCATCCATTAAAAGAAAACCCAAAGTCTTGTCATCATGACAACACGGATAGAACTACAGGGTATTACGCTATGTGAAATAAATCAGACACAAATACAAATACCATAGGACCTCTCTTACATGTGGAATCTAAAAAATTAAATGAACAAATAAACAGAACAAAAACAGACACATAAATACAGATACCAAAAAGGTGGTTGCTGGAAGTGGAAGGATGGTGAAACAGGTGAAGGGGATTAAGAGGCACAAACCTCTAGTTACAGAACAAATTAGCCATGGGGATTCAGCATAACAAATAAGGTCAATAATATTGTATGGGGACAGATTACTAAACTTGGGGCAGATATCATTTCATAATGTATGCAAATGTCAAATCACTATGTAGTACATCTGAAAATACCATAATATTGTGTAGCAACTATATTTCAAATATATTCATATTTTTTAAAAAAAGAAAAAAGAAACCAAAGGACCTGAGTAATTCAGTAACATTTATGATATATAGATTCAATATGGTATAAATATATTCTCAACAAATTAATTTTTAATTTCAAAGAATTATCAAAATACAAAGATGTTATATTTTATTTCATCTAATGGTAAGTATTTTCTAATACTCATTCACAATAAAATCATACATTTGGACTACAGCTGCTACAACTAGAAAATTAATGGTAAATTACAATCCATGAATATCAGAGACCCACGGATGAAAGGAGAACTAAATGAGCCAAATTCCAGAGAGGGGAGAGCTCTTCCCAGATGAGCTAAGAGTGCTTCTGGCTGTTTACTTGGCTGAGGGCATTTGTCCAGCCTGAGAACAGGCAGGGCAGGCTCAGCTGAGATAGAGGATGACATCAAAAGAAAGAGAAACCAGTGGAGGCTTTGGTGCCCACCCTGGACGGCAGGCTCCCCCCACCCCGTGTTTGCTGTGTGTGGTCAGTGCAGAAACTGGGCAGGAAAGGCAGACTGATTCTCCCATGGTTTCAAGGCACCAAGGATACAGAGAACGCAAGGAAGGAGCCTGCTATCAGTACACCCCTTGAAAACAAGGTGATCCAAGTTCAACTAAAGCAGCAATCCAGTCCCAAACCAGCGTGATGCCTGTTTAGATGAAATGATCAGTCACTCCCCATCTGCACAACAAAGCAAAGGGGAAACAGGCTCTGGTAGAAAGTAACATTGAACTTCAGTCTCTGTGGTTCCTTTTGTACCAGTTCACAAACACACACATACATAAGTAAAGAAAGAATAACAGAGCTAACTTGGCAAAATAACAATGGGGGAATCTGGGTGAAGGGTGTTTTTTTTTTTTAAAATACAATACAGGAGGTTATTTTATCCTATTTTTGCCACTTCTTTAGTTTTGAAATTATTTCAAAATAAAACATATAATACAATAAACTCCTTGGGCTTTCCAGATGATCATTTGCATACTTAAAGGGCCCTTCACAAGCTAGCCCTGCTCTCACATGCTCCCTGTTCTGGCCATATGCCTTCTTTCCACTACACAAGGCATCTGCTGGTTCTCACTGCAAGGCCACCAACTTAGCTGCCTCCAAAGCCTGGAATGCTTCATGTACTGTGCCTTCATCTGCCCATGATCATCAAGTTGTCATTCAGATTCTGCTTAAATGCTGCCCCAAGACAAGTAGCCACCCAGCCACTGTCACATGCACAAACACACACAGTTTTGTTCATGATGTTCCTCTGATATGTCTTATCATCTCCATCTCCCGTATCTTATATGGGGTATGGGTCCCATCAGTCTTGTTCACCTCTGCACACCCTAAAAAAATTACCTGGCATAATAGTCAATGTTTGCTAAAAACATGTACTCAAAAATAAGGAAATACTGTTTACATTTGTTAAAGACTCTTACATCCTAAGGGCAATAAGAGCACAGACTCTGAAGACACTCTGTGTGGGTCTGAATCTTAGCTCTGCCACCCTTGTCTCGTTTCCCTTACTAGTTTGGGACTGTGGGCAGCCTCCCCAGTTTCCTCAGCTGTACAATGGGGACATACTTGCCTCACAGGGCCCTGAGACTTTAATGATGTCACAAACAAAATGTGCCTAGGCCAAGAGTGGTGTCTATTAATGTTATTCAATAGTTGTAAACTCTTCTTTATTAATAGGTCCTGTAGACTTATAATGTTCATTTATTTTATATTCCTTAATTGCCATCACAAATACATTCTCTTATTGTACTTTCTGTATAATTATTGTTTAAAGACAAAAAATTCACTGATTTTTGAGGTTAACTGTATCCCTCAGGCCACCTCAATGAAATCCTTTCCCCCTGACACCAAAACCCTTCCTGTCATACTTGATCACCTAAAAAAATACTATTACTACACTATTACTAATTGCTCCTTTACATCCTGCTATCCATGTGCTAAGTGTTAAGTTGCTTCAGTCACATCTGACTCATTTTGACCCCGTGGACTGTGGCCCACCAGGCTCTGTCCATGGGATCTTCCAGGCAAGAATACTGGCGAGGGTTGCCATTTCCTTTTCCAGGGGATCTTCCAGACCCAGGGATCGAACCTGCATCTCTTATATCTCTTGCATTGGCAGTCAGGTTCTTTACCACTAGTGCCACCTACACTCCTGAAGGAAAGCAACCCTGCATATTCACTGGAAAGACTGATGCTGAAGCTGAAGCTCCAATACTTTGGCCACCTGATGTGAAGAGCCGACTCACTGGGAAAGACCCTGATGCTGGGAAAGACTGAGGGCAGGAGAAGGGGGTGACAGAGGATGAGATGGTTGGATGGTATCACGGACTCCATGGACAGGAATTTTGAGCAAACTCTGGGAGGTAGTGAAGGACAGGGAAGCTTGGTGTGCTGCAATTCATGGGGTCGCAAAGAGTCAGACATGACTGAGTAACTGAAGAACAACCACCACCACCTATACTACTACTAATCATTTCTTTACATCCTGCTGTCCACAACCTAATGCAATTCCTTCACCTCTTAGGAAGTGAATATCTGTAGCACACCCAACATTCTGTTTGCTCTGGAAAAAACTGCTTAAGACCTATAAATTCTGAAATCCAAGAAGCACCTTTTGGCCTTATGAAATACTTTCAAGACACTTCACATCATGGCTTCTAAGAAGTTCTCTAGTCTCAACTTTGTACGGGAAAAACCACTCTCCAAATGTTCTCTCAACTCTCCTGCACCCCAGCTCCTCTTTAACACAGTACTTGTCATTGTCCTGAGGCTTCTACTTGGTCCTTTTGGGGGCTCTACTCCTATACCTATAACTCCTGTAGTTAAAGGCACTAACATAGGTGCCTTTAATCGGTATATGTTAGTTGAAAACTCCCACCTGAGCTACAGACTCAACTGTAGGCACCACATATTCAATACCTACAAAGCTACACTCTGAGGTCTAGCGGTAAAGAATCTACCTGCCACTGCAGGGGACACGGGTTTGATCCCTGGTCCAGGAAGATCCCACATGCCTCGGAGCAACTAATCCCTTGCACCTCAACTACTGAGCCCCTGCTCTAGAGACCAGGGACCATAACTACTAAGCCCACGTGTTGCAACTACTAAAGCCCGCTTGCCCCAGAGCCTGTGCACCACAAGAGAAGCCCAGACACTGCAACTAGAGAGGAGCCCCACTCACTGCAACTAGAGAAAGCCAGAACAGCAAGGAAGACCTACCTCCCCCCCCACCACCCCCAGCCACAGGCAAAGATAAATAAATCTTAAAAGAAGGAAAGAAAAAAAAAAAAGCTACATACACTCTGTCCCTGGATACTTCTTCCAACAGTGTTTTCAAGACTGTACACATCACCGGTGTGCCAACAGCTCAGGAGTTCAGCATTCGCTGTTAAGTCTCCCTCTGGTTCAGTCCTCCAACCACCTGCACGGTCCAGAGGGTCCACTGGCTCACTCCTGTCACAACACTGCTCCTTCCTGCTTTGAATCCTTAAACTCCTTCCCCGCCATCCTGCCCAACGATTCTGTGCGCCAGACCACAGCTCCTCTAAAACAAGAAACGTACGTGATTTCTTTGCACTGCCAGCATCAATGTCTGGATCCAGCTCACGAGGGTACTCAGTATACAAGCATCTGAACAAGCTAATGAACAAAAAGGAGATAAATTTCCCTGCTGATGCCCTGAAAATCTGGACGCGAAGACAACTCAGAACTTGTGCGTGTAAAATCTGAAACGATAGAGGATCATTTCCTTCACAAGGGCCCTCACTGCCCTAGGAATTCAGGGTCCGCTGTAGACAACAAAGCAGAGTAACTGCCCACGGACAGGGCACCGGACACCAAGTGCCAGAAGACAAGGGACGTTTCTGGAGACTCAGGGGGATGGCGGGGAATATGTGAGTTCACTGCTGTGACAGTGAAGGGATGAAGAGGTCCACCCTCAAGGCCGAGTCAGTTTTCTCAAGTGAGAAAGTCCCTACTTACCGAACACGAAGCTGTCGGGAATCTGGTGGCCATCCCGGGCTGTTTCGTGCAGGCTGCGAAGGAGAGAACCGAACTCTGAGGATATCCCTGCTGGTCCCACCCCGCCCACCAAGAGGGGGTTCGAGCCCGACGGAGAGGGTCCGCGGGCACCAGGCACCTGCCCGTCCGGGGCTGAGTCCCTCCCTCGTAGGGAAGGGGCCTCCGGGCCCGGGCAGAGGGAACTTGGACAATGAGTTTGTACCGCTCCGCAACCCTGATGCGGGAGGGACCGAGGCCGGGCTGGCTGCCTCTACGCCGGGATCGAGCGTGGGGGCTCAGCTGGTCAAGATCCTGGTTCGCACAGGATGTTCTGGGCCAGGGTAACTTCGCGTCTCAGCTAGCTCCGCAGTCTCTGAAACGGAACGCCCCCGCCCCGCCCCTGAGCAAGAAGCCCTGCCGGATACCGCCCGTTAGGCGCGTATTCCTCTACGGCCGCAGGGCGGCGCAGACGGAAGTACGTCACGTGACGAACAGCGGCTGGCAGAACACTACATCTCCCAGAATCCTCTGTGGAGGGAGAGGGCTTGGATAGACGTGCAAGGCCTGATGGGAAAGGCGGGCGGGCTCTACTAGAGTCGGTATCAATTCCTCCGCTGCTCAGGAAAGCGTTAGTGTCTGGGCAGTGGCCGGTGCTTGGGTCTTGAGACCAAACCAGGTAGAGTTCGTAGAGGAAGGCCCAGCAGAGAACGACACCGTGTGAAACTATGAGGTGCAATGCACAGGGTTATAAAACAGTACTGAATATCAGTGCACCAAATAAGTTACCAACTTTACGGAGGAGAAAGTATAGTAGATGAGAAGTAGAAGGACATCAATATTGGGACACACAGACGCGTGGTTGTCCAACACAGAGCAAACAGTAGTCAACTGTAAAAAAAATGCACAACCTGAAAGTTGAGAGTTCTGTTTTATTCTGTGGGCAAAACTGAGGATTTAAGCCTGGGACACAGCAGCTCAGATAACTGAGAGGAGACTGCTCTGAAGAGGCAAGGGGGAAGTCAGGATAGGTAGGAGTTTTTGCAACAAAGATATAGTAGTTGGAACATCAAAAGATTATTGATTAAAGAAAACTAGATAGCTCAAGTTAAGGGATTTACTGCTTTTCCATCTATGGGAAGATACAAGAGTCTAAGCTTACTGAAATCATTCCTTTGATACGCACCTCAGCTATCTGGGGCCAGTATTCTGTGTTTTCTCACCCTGAGACCCCCTCAAGGCTCACAGTCAGGTGGTTGTAATCTGATGGCTTGAAGGCTGCAACATCCTTTGTTTACTGATATGGTAGGCAATATTTAGCTATAAATTAAAAGCATAATTTAAAAAGCTCTTTCTGTCTGAAAAAAAATTGTTTTTAAAAAGTCTTATCTTCAACTGACAGCAAATGAAATAGGGAAATTCAGACAAAACTGTAGACAACACTATGCGTTAATGTGTGGGAGAAACTAAGAGCAATGATGACAGGAAATTTCATAATCGTAAGTAATTATATGGAGTAGGAAATGTCAACCCACTCCAGCATTCCTGCCTAGAGAATCCCATGGCCAGAGGAGTCTGGTGGATTATGGTCCATGGGATTGCAAGGAGTTGGACACGACTGAGTGACTAAGCATAGCATAGCATAAGTAATTATAGTAGTTATAACAGTAAAAACAAAACAATAAGAGTTGAATTCTCAAAAAGCTAAAGAACAAAGTAAACCTAGGGCTTCCCTAGTGGTCCAGTGGTTAAGAATCTGCCTTGCAATGCAGGGGACATGGGTTAGATCCCTGGTTTCAGGAAGATCCCACATGCCTCGGGGCAACTAAGCCCAGGTGCCAGAACTATTGAGCCTGCACTCCAAAGGAGGTGAGCAGCAACTCCTGCCACCACTTGGGGAAACTACTGAAGCCCAGGTAACTACAGCCTGTGCTCTGCAACAAGAGAAGCTACTGTAATGAGAAACCTGTAAACCACAACTGGGAGAAAGCCCCACACAACAATGAAAACCCAGAGCAGCCAAAATAAATAAATAGATAAATAAATATATATATTTAAAAACCCCAAACAAGGTAAACCTAAAAAAGGCAAAGCAGAGGAAATACTAAAGATTAAAGAAAAAAATTATTCAAAATTTGCAAGGACAGGGAAAAAAAAGTGTAATAATACTGTGAATCCACTCAAAGTAACTGACATATATAGAACACTGTAACTAAAGATATTAAATATACGTAACTTTTACATGTGCATGGAGCATTCTCCAAGATAGGTCCTATGTTGGACCACAAAATAAATCTCAATAAATCTGAAAGGACTGTACCCATAAAAAGTGTATTTTCTGACAATGGTAGAAGTAAATTAGAAATAAACCCTAGAAAAATGTAGGAAGTCCCCAGGTTTTTGGACATTAATAAACACGGTTTCAAGTAATTGCTAACTCAAGAAACCACAGGAAAAGTAGAAAACACTTTGAACTGAATTGAAGTGAAAATGCAACATACTGTAAATGTCTACATCACTAGAAATCCAAATCCTGAGCTCGCTCTTTTATTCCACTTACTGCCAATTTAATCTTCCCTTTCTAGCTGAATCCAGGACTGCTCAGTCCCTATTATGATCTCATAAAATTCCCAAGCAAATTGTATTCTTAACAAATCCCTAACATGCTCTATGCCCTGTTCTCTGATGGAAGGAAACTCAGCACTTAAGATCTTTCTTAGGCTGGTCTCCCATCTGAATTGCCATTTAAGTAAATTTAAATGAATAATCCCTAATCCTACTGTACTGTCTTTTGAGATCTTAAAATATTGGACCTTAGTCTAATTCTAAGGGGCATTGGATTAATTCCCCTTGTTCATAATTCTGAAATTTTTGTTATGATCTAAAACTGCTACTGCCTTAAAACAGTGCAGAACTATTTTTAGGGAAGAGGGTCTAGGATTGATATTGGTTTACAGTGAAATGGCAGGAAGTCTTGGGAAAGCGTGTGACAGAAATAGACAGCTGTGAGAATAATTAATGACAGTGTATAGCAAAGAGGAAACTAGGGAGGACATTAGAGTGTGTAAGGTATGATAGAATACAACACAGAGATAACCATTCTGTTCATAGAAGATTAGGGACAGTGATGGGGCAACTGCATGCAAAAAGGAAGTAAAGCTACAACAATGAATACATGCATACCTATTTGTTTCTATATTTTTCAGTGATTTAGCTTAAGTTTTTGTTGTTGTTTGTTTTAGTTGGCATGGGAATTGATGCTGAAAATGAAGTAGAAGGTAGATGTGCTACAGGGCTGGGCAGCTGGAATTTGTCAAGCTGAGTAAATTGGAGTTTTGTTTTCCTTGACACTAAAAAGGAAACAGTTAGAGGCAGGAGCCTAACTATGCTGGAGTAAATAGATAAGATGACCACGTCTATCACTTTTGAGATCAAGGAGACCTGCCCTGACAGCGAATGCATAGAAAGACTCCTCTGGGGTAAAAAAGGAAGGGGGTGCTATCCCGTAATAGGCTAAAAGATGAACATGCATACTGGGGAGAGCCCTGGTCCAGGTCAGATGGGGAGAAGGAAGCGAGATAATTGGCCAGAGAAAAACAAAGACCCAGAAGAACTACTCTTGGATAAGCAATCACCTGTCTGGCACATTCCTCATTAAGGAGGATGCCGCCCTCTTCTCTGGGTGCCTATTTCTGCCCTATTTTTGTGTTAAATAAATAAAATGCTTCTCTGTGTGCTCTCTCACATGTTATGCTGTGTCCCTAATAATAAACTTTGTGCCTGTTTTCAAGTTTTGTCTCCCTGAAACACTTGTTTTCAACAGGGACAAGAGCCAGAGAAGCTTCAAATCTAGCTTCTAGCCTCTGATAGTTAGAATTCCTGGTTTTCACCCCAGCTAGCCCAGGTTCATTTCTTGGGCAGGGAACTAAGATTCTGGTTCAAGCCACCACTCACTGCTGTCTCCCTGAGATCAGAAAAATCATGCTTAATTAATGCATTAAAATTGTAATTTAAGATTGATTTGAATGCAAATGCCAGAAATATAGCTCAGATTAGCTTAAATTAATAGAGAAAATGTATTAGCTCTCATATATACATGTATATATACATAAATGTATATGTAATGTATATAAATGTACTTTCTTTCCCCCTCACCACCTGGGAAGATATCATAAATGTATATAACATATGTATTATATAATATATAAATGTGTAAATTATAAAATAAATGTATAGTTCTAATATAATAACTGAAAGGAACAGGCAGTAGGCTTCAGGAATGTCTTGACTCAAAACTTCAATCAGCATTGCACTACTTTCTCCCTTTCTCCATTCTTTCCAATTGGCCTCATTTTCAGTCAGCTTTCATCATGAAGTAGCAGAGGAAACTGACATTTTTTTCATAATAGTTCTGGAAAATATGTGGGGACTGACTCTCACAGAGCCAGGCTTCTTTCCCTGAACAACAGTCACAGTGACCAATGATCTAGCCCTTGGCTTCTTGTATAAAACCAGTACTTCATTGTCTGGACCTCCACTGAAACCGCACAGATCAAGCATAGGAGAAAGTTTGTTTCCTAAAGAGAAACTGAGATAAATTATCAGAAGAAAGGGAATGGACATAAGGAAGGCAAAAATAAAATTTCTTAGGTCCTCTATTTCTAGAATTACTGACTCCCCTGATACATGAATTCACTCTGGGACAGTCACAGCATGAGGAAACACTGTGTCACATTTTCAATGCTCAAGTCATATTGCAAAGCCTCCAAATTCATTTTTGCCTACCCCAGTGAATTTTGATCTCATCATATTTATCAACTGTGGTAGGACTTGTAATCTGAACCATATAAATTATTCTTATGGCCTTGATAGCACATGCCATTCTTTGTTTCCTCCTTGCATACCTTTATTATTATTATTTTTTTTTCTACTTAAGTTGTAAGCTTTGGGTAGAAAAGTGCTCCTATTTATTTTATTCCCAATCTTAGAAACAGATTCTTTTAGATATTGAATTGGTTGGTTGATTTATATGGAATATACTGAGAAAAATCATTTCTCCATTTTAAAAATTGTCTTTTTCATAACAATTTCTTCTCAGTCTCAGTTTCCCTGATCCTCCATTCTCTTTCTGTGGCTTTTGAAATGGAACAGGACCCCATGGTCCTTACCCACCATGTCTTCTGCCTGCCTTTTGTCTGTGGACAACTTTAGTCAAAGAATAAGTTTAACTGGAGAAATGAGAAATACAGAAATAAAAGAAAACAGTCAAAGGAGATCAAATAATAATAGTATAGCCATCAAGCATAGTCAAGGACCTTCAGTTCTTTCCCAAGGGCTGTAGATAATATCCTGAGTCACATCCTGGGAGCAGTCTTACAGATACCAAAAACACCAGGGTGAAGAGGTTAACTACATGATGACCAGATTGTACCCACAATATAATGGGTCCTGTTGCCACAGTTCTGAGAACTGGCCTCAGAGAAATGGGGACAAATGTACCCTGAAACTGAAGATTAACTGTACCTAAAACAACCACGAAGGCAATGGCAACCCACACCAGTACTCTTGCCTGGAAAAATCCCAGGGACGGAAAAGCCTGGTAGGCTGCTGTCCATGGGGTCGCTAAGAGTCAGACACGACTGAGCGACTTCACTTTCCCTTTTCACGTTCATGCACTGGAGAAAAGAAATGGCAACCCAGTCCAGTGTTCTTGCCTGGAGAATTCCATGGACGGAGGAGCCTGGTAGGCTAAAGACCATGGGGTCACAAAGAGTCAGACATGATTGAAGCGTCTTAACACTCACGCATGATCAAAAATGAAAAGGATTGTGCGCAGATTATAAGAGGGAAGTGCCCCCTGTACCCCACAGCCGAGCCACAGAGCATTTTGCAACAGGAAACCTCACACCTGTCCCTCAGGGAGGCACGCCGCAAGCCCCTCTGGGAAATGTAGTTCTAAAGCGAGTGGGACTCTGGGAAATGTAGTTCTGCGTGGACACTTCCGAGGCCCGGCCGCGTCCGCCTCGGCACTGTGGACCGGAGGGGTAAGGGTGTGGGGGGTGGGACTGCGGGCTGGTGGTGGCCTCTGCGTCCGACTGGGGCCGTGTAGTGACCCCGGCGCGGACCGGCTTGGGGCGACGCCGGCGTGTGTACGAACCAGCTCCGGAGCCGGGTACGGGGGGCGGCGGGGGCGGGGAGGCTCGGAAGGACTGTCCTGCTGCGCAGGCGTCGATTCCGGTCCAGGTGCGGGGGTGCGTTGTGGGGTGAGGCTGTGGGGGAGGGGCATAGGGCGGCCCGGAGTGGGGCGCGGGGTAAGGGCTAGAGGTGGCAGAACAGCGCGGAGGCGGGAGGGAGCGGGATGAGGGGCAGCGTTTGGAGGACTGGGATCTGTAGGGCTGGGTGTAGGTGGCGGTGGTGTGGGACTCTGGAGGGAGATTTCGGGGCCCGGGCGAGGCCTCCGGTGGTGGTGGGCGATGAAGGAACTGTGAAGGAGACCGTGAAGCTGATTAATTTGGGGGTCACTTGAGGGTTGAGATATTGGAATGTCTGTGGAAATCAGTAATTGGGTTTAGGGAGGCGTGAATTGTTGTGAAACCAGTGGAGGGAAGGATTTTTTTTTGAGGGGGATCTGTTTAGCCTTGGGGGGTGGTGACATTAGGAGCTGGGAGAGAGGGAGCCCAGAGGTCACCCTCCGAAGTGAATGAAGGGCAGCATGGGGTCATTGTGCACTGGGGAAGTGGATTGAGGGTTTGTAGGAATAGTTAAGGCTCTAGTGATTCATGATATGGGTGCCTTGGATTGGGGACTGGACCCAAAGGGATGAATGATAAGGCCCTTCAGGGGAGTCTGTTTGGGCAGCATTTAGAGGGCTCTGAGTGGTTGAACTGAGGATTTCGTTGACAGGGCTCTTGGTTGCTGCAGTGTTAGACTTTGTTCCGTGTGCTCCTGGAAAACAGGAAGCTTAAGAAGTGTCCCCCTCTCCAGGTTTCAAGGAAACACCTTCTTGCAAAGAACCCTGTTCCCTCCACAGGACTCCCTTGTTTACCTGTGACAAGGCCATAGATAAATATGATACCAACTCCTTCTTAGCTTTTACCTCATCAATGATTAGCTGAATTGTTTGTCCTCACCCATCAAAGCACTTATTAACCAAACTTTGGTTCAGCTTCTCTTCCTCCTGCAGTTTCCTGAACTTTGGTGCGCTGCAGCTTTTGAGCAGCCTTACAGCCCTGACTCACTGCCCAACCCCCCCCACCCCGAGAAATGGTCAGCCTCTGGTGAAATGTCCTGTTATCTGCCATCTTGCCCTTTGATCCAGCATCCTAACACCTTGCCGAGATGCTTCTACCTCTTAGGGCCACAGCATTCTCACTACTTCAGCACCCCGCACCACCCAAGCTAATAAATTCTTGGAGTGAAATATTTCTTTGCCAAGTCTGCATTTTTTAAAAGATTCACTTATTTATTTTGGCTGTGCTGGGTCTTCGTTGCTGCATGCAGGCTTTCTCTAGTTGTGGCGAGTGGGAGCTGCTCTTCAGTTGTGCTCAGGTTTTTCCTTATGGTGGCTTGTCTTGTTGTGGAGCCTGGGCTCCAGAGCACATGCTTCATTAGTTGTGGTGTGTGGGCTTAGTTGCCCTGAGGCATGTGGGATCTTTCCCCATCAGGGATTGAGCTGGTGTCCCCTGAATTGCAAGGCAAACTCTTAACCACTGGACCCCCAGGGAAGCCCTGCATTTGTTTTGACCTGACAGTTTAGTGGTAGCTTTTTCAGTGGAGGGGAGTGACTAGGGTGGCCTGGGCTGGTGAGTGGTCTGGGTCCGTGTTTGGGGATCTGGTGACTGAGACGTCAGGTTGGAGGCTGTGTATCAGTGTTGGGGGTCTGTGCTTAAGTTGATGGGTGGCCTGTTGAGGGTTATGAGTGAGTGGAAAACGGGGGTGGTATTTGGCATTGTTGGAGGGGCTGGGGGCGTTGGTGTTCGTGTGGCGCTGGAGGCCCTTGCAGAGTGATGAGCTGTGGGGGTGTCAGCAAGTGGTGGGTGAGCACAGGGTGGACTAGAGAGTGGATATCAAGGAAGTGAGTGGCTGGCAGTCCTATGTGATGAGGGGCTGAGGACCACTGGGAGTTTAGTGATGGGGGCTAGTTTAGGTGGTAGGTGGTGATGGGAGATAGCGAGCCTGCAGGGGACTCTGCAAGCACTGATGGGGCACCTGTGAAGGTGAGTGGGTGGGTACCCATAGAAGGGAGTGATGGGAGGTCTGCAGGTGTCCTTTGGGACTCAGCATGTGAGATTCCAATGACAGTTTCTAGTCAACGAGTAGACTGGAGATTGTTGATTGGGGTTTGGAGGAGTCAGTGATGGGGTTTCTTGGTGGCATTGAGAAACCTGTGGGAATCAGAGGTAAGTGGCTCTGGGGTTGTAGTCAACTAAGGGGTCTGTTGGGATACCTGTGGCTATGCGCAGGGCTGAGTGAGGGAGAGCCTGCTGTGACCAGGAACAGAGGGTTCTGTACTGTCTGATTGGGGATCGAGCTGTGGTGAGAGACTTTGGGATTCATTGATTCACATACTTCTGTGGATTGGTTTTGTCACTGATGTTTGGTGATTGGAAGCTTTGCTAGAAGACTGTTGGGGACCCACAGTGTGTGTAATTGATGGCCCAGACACCCTAGAGGGATGGTGGACACGTTGGGGTCAGTGGTTGTGTGTTCAGTTATTGGGGCTGGGGAATTCTCAGGTGGTCAGTTAGTGTGATTGAGGTGGTCTTTGGAACCTGTGTTTGAGGGGCTGTGGGTGTTGGTGATTGCAGGGCCTGTGAGCATGGTGGTTTGGGGTTTGGATGGATATGTGTGGGCTCAGCAAGACTCTCAGGTTGTGACTTCTGTTCGATAACTGTTATCTTTTGTTCTTTAGCCCCTCTCATCCAGCACGTGTGTGGCCTTGTTGGTGAGTGATGGCTCCTTTTACTTGAATGTTTCCTTGTTTAAGAATTCTCAGTGACCCCATTGACTCTGAATCCTCCCACTTGTGTCTGATGCACCTTCACGGGTGTGGTTGGCCTCTGGCCTTCCAAAAGGGGCTCCACCTCCACAGGGCTCAGCTAAGAGTCATCTCCAAGGAGTATCCTCTATCTACCCACTTGTGTGTCACATTTGAAGTTTCTTTTGAGCACTGTGACAGTCAGAAATTATTTTGATGTCTGTTTCCCACCTGAGAGGACAGGGATCATCTGTCTTATTTGATGGTCTCTCCCATCTGTCCAGAGCAGGGCCCAGTAGTAAGAGACCCTTAACAAATTGTTGCTTCCCTGGGCCATAAATGAGACTGTGAGTGTGTGTATATGCACGTGTGTGTGTGTGTGTGTGTGTGAGTGTGTGAGCATGAGTGTGTGAGAGAGAGAGATCTGATGTGGATGTGAGAGCGAAGTGCAGGAGTATGTTGGATCCTGGGGGAGAAAGAGTGACTGTTTTGGGTGTCAGTACAGTCAGCACGTCCCCTTCTCCAGAGAAGCTGCAGGAGGTCTCCTGTGCATCAACCCAGACCCCAGAAGGGGTCCAGATGAGATAGATGCTTCCAGGGCAAGTGGGCCTGCATCTCAAGGACCCCAGGTTTGGAAAGCATTGACTTTGGAGTCTCTTCCCTCGGCCTCCTAGACCACTGGGACCTGCCATCGCCCAGGAGCCCGAAGGAGCTCCCTGCATGTCCCAGGAGGAGGTGCTTTTCCCTTGGGTGTCACTCTCTGCTCTCCCAGGATGCTTTTCTTGAGAGACCTGTTCTCAAGCACCAGGCTTTTCACACTGGACTGAGGAGAGTCCAGTCTCATTGGGGGATGTTGATTTTTGTGTCCGCTGCACCCACACATCAGCAGAACCCATGGCATTACTCTCCCTTCCCACCAGTAGGAGTTCTTCCTGCCCCAGATGCCCTTGCTCTGCCCGCTACCACTGTTTCAGTCAAAATTCAAAATCCAGTCTGTCTTTCCAGCCTGGCTGGTTCTTGACTCACTGCGGGTCCTCTCTGCACCTGGTCCACACTGGGACCTGCCCTCCCTCCCTGGCCTATGTCGTCTCTCGATTCTCTCAAGGCCCTTGATCGATGATGCTGGGAGCTGGTCTGTGGTCTGGCCGGCGTTGAGCAGTGTTCCTGGGTTTCCTTTCTTTTTCCCTTGCCAACTGAGTGGTTTGGGGCTCCTGAGCAGTTGGTGATGAAAGCAGACTTCCTTTGTCTGATTCCAGCCCTCAGCCCAACCCTGAGAGTGGCAGGAAGGGCCTCGAAGAGGCCAGTGTTCTCTCCACTCTTGTTAGTGGCCCTGGAGCAAAACCTGGTGGTGTGCTGACACCCAGGCATAACTTTCTGCCCTCATTTGTGGAGGACAAGTCAACACATCTCTCTCTGTTCAACTGGGACACTCAGGATGCCTCCTTCCCCTCCCCGCCATTCTTAATAGAACAACAGGCTCCTGCTCTGGATCTCCTTTAGGAACTACGTTCTCTTCTTGCTCAGTTTACTTTCTGGAAAAGTGTCCATTGATTGTCCATTATGTCTGGTCTTCCTTGCAGCCTGTCATCCTGTGGGGACCAAGCCAGGAGCACGAACAGCTCAGGGGGTGCCCAGCATTCACTCCCAGACCACAGGTTTGGATCACAGCACTGGACAGGTCTCAGTTGGGAGGTGGAGCTTGTCCCTCGTGTCCCCAGGTTTACCAGGAACTGTGTTTTTGGACACTTCCTTTCAGGTGTACCCTCATGAAGGAAGTCACATCCCTGTGTGACCCCGCCCCCGTGGCGTCCTTGGCTCTGATCCAGTGTCTGGCTGATGTCAGTGACCTGGCTCATGAGCGGTGGAGAAATTGAAAGTGTAAGTATTTGTGTGCACAAAGATGTAGTAGTATTTGTGATCATGCTGATCTTAACTGTTGGTCTGTCTGTTCCGATAATTTAGCCTAAGGTTATCTCTGTTATACAGTTTATGATCTTTTAAAAAGTTTTTGAAGTAGTGGTTGTATTTACTTATGTGGTTATTTGACTCTTTGTGGATATAGTTTAACAAACCAATCCAGAAAACTTCTGCACAAAAATAGAAGAGAAAGAATAGTTTTATTATTGAATAAAAATTAAACCAGAATGTGATGCCCACTTGAGACAATCTGCTAAAAATATTTCAAGAGACAGGAAGAGATGGTGTTCTGTTTGTAGCCAGGCAGGTACAACCTGCTAGACAGACCTACAACACAGTCTCAAGGGATTATTTGTCACACAGAGTTCATCCTAAACTTACCTGGTAGTTGGAGTGGCTACTGTATTAGCTACTTGCCTTCACTCAAAGGAAAAATACACTTCTCATGTCTTTGTGATGGGAGGTAATTTTCCAGCTTGGAACTGGGTGCCACAGTCAGGCCAGTCAGGCTGCTGTCCTCCCAGAGACCAGGAGATAGGGATGTGTTTTCCTGGATGAATTCAGAGACACCTCCCAGGTCCATAAGAAAGACATTGTTGAGTTGTTAAACTTAGTTTTAGAAAAGATTTACGTACATCCCAAAGGGGCAGAGAAAGATTTTGTAATTACACATTTTCTACAGTAAATGCTCTTGAAATAGGGATCTGAGGGGTCTTTTTCTTTTTGTTTGCCCTCACAGGCTCTGAGCTGGATCCCCCTAAAGGTGTTATCTGTCTGCTCTCCTGTTCCAGTAATTGCATTAGAGAAGGGCTGGGACCAGGCTTTGGAAGCAGAGGGGAGGGAAGGGGCCCAGGGCCAGCAGTGTGGACCTCAGAACCGCTGGATAGCCCCATCTCACCCCCTCTGTAAGCAGCTCTTCTGAGCAGGGATCAGAGACCTTAGAAAGAAGCAGGCTGTGGAGCAGTTTCTCTGGGGTACATGGGAAGGTGGGAGATGCAAATGTGCCTGAAGGCAGCTGGGATCCTTGCCAGTTCTGTGGTGCCTAAACTCAGCAGGGATTTTGATCTGTCTCCTGTCACCCCTTGGAAGCCCGTGGCCTGGACTGTTGTGCTGGTTTCTGAGGGAGGAGCAGGCAGTGTTTGCCCCAACGTGAGGTGAGAAAGAAAGGATGGTAAAGGTTCCTTTAGGTCTCTCCTTTAGGTTGTAACCCTGTGGATCAGCTGCAAACCCACACCCGAGTGTCAGCCTCCCCGAGGCCTGTCTCCCCTTGAGGTCTCACCCCTTCTTTTGGCCATTTCTTTTAGTTCCTCTGATCTATGCTTTCGTTTGGCTCCAAGACTGCTTTTGGAGTGGAGGGCCAACACCCCAGGCTGCTTCTCCATCTTGATCTAAAAGCCCTTTCCTGTCCCCTGTCCTGCCTGGAAGTGAGTTGCATTTTGTTCTGTAGCACCTGTGCCAGGCATTTCATTTAAATGCCCGCAGGAAAAAAATGCTGCAGGGTCAGTGAGCCAGTACTGTCTTTCCAGACGTTGTTGCTGCCCCTGCAGAGTGGTTTGAGGGCCTTTGGTTGACCCAACCAGCGGGTGGCTCCCGTCAGGCGTCCCAGGTGGGAGCTGGGTTGCAGAGCACAACGTGTGCTGCAGGCCTGGCCTGGCTGTGGTTGGCTCGACGGACGCATGCCGGTAGCTCACTCTCCGTCTTGTTCCTTAGCACCAGCAAACAGCCCGTCTGAGTTCCCCGTTACAGAGAACCAAGATTGAGGTCCCCAAATGAATGACATCCTCTCAAACAAGATTCCCATTGCACCTCTAGGCCATGGGTCTCAGGAACAAGAAGACTTGCGTGAGATAAGAAAGAAGAGGCCTCAGGACTTGGGGTGCATTCACATCTTTGACCAGAGGTTCAGAGCATCAGGACAGAGAGAAGTCACAGAGAGAGCAGGTTTCCCAGGACTGGGGCAAGATGATCAAGTCACAGGTAAGTTGTTTGTCCTCCAGTCGTTTTATCTGTGGGTGTGATGAGGCTTCCAGGCATTTCTGCAACCAACAGGAAAGGTTTAAATACGTTTAAATTACAGCCAGAGAAAACGTAAACCTGGAAAGGAAGATGGTCAAAAGAAACACAAGGTGGACCATAGAATCATACAGAAGTCTTGAAGCTGGGACACAGACATGTGAGAAGTAAGACCCTGCACTGCTGGAACCGAGCTGCAAGCCTCCTTAGGTGTCCCCAGAAGCCGCCATAGAAAGAAACAAGAATAGCTGCGTGGTTTCCTCTGTCAGAAAACAGACCATTATTGACTTAGCAGAAGCAAACGTTTCCTGATGATTACATGTAAAGAAAACGCTTGGATAACTGTTTATGTAGATGGCGTGGTGAATGACGTCCTGGAATGGGTGAACTTATTTCTGAGGGCTATTCCTTGTGGGGATCCTCAGTGTAGGTGGAGGACGTGGGAGCGGGCAGCGGGCCTGGGCACACACCCTACTTGTGTTCTGCTTTTAGGGAAGAAAACCTGAATCATCTTGCAGAATTGGTTGTTAATAAACCTTCAAGTGGCCTCCATAAATATTCTCTCGGTTGGAAAAAAAAATTATTTACTTATTTATTTATTTTTGACTGTGCTGGGTTTTTATTGCTACGCAGGCTTTTCTCTAGTTGTGGAGAGCGGGGGCTAGTCTCTAGTTGTGATGCACAGGTCTCTCATTGCAGTAGCTTCTCTTGTTGAGGAGAAGTGGAGTGGCTACTCTGTTAGGTATTTGCCTTCACCCAAAGAAAAAACACACTTCTCATATCTTAATGATGGGAGGTAATTTTCCAGCGTGGAACCGGGTGCCCCAGTCAGGCCAGTCAGGCTGCTGTTCTCCCAGAGAACAGGAGACAGAGATGTGTCTTCCTGGATGATTTCAGAGACACCTCCCAGGTCTATGAGAAAGACATTCTTGAGTTGTTAAACTTAGTTTTAGAAAAGATTTGGTTGTTAACAAAAAAAAGGTCTGGGGCGTGCGGGCTTCAGTTGTTGTGGCACATGAACTCAGGAGTTGTGGTTCCCAGGCTCTAGAGCACAGGCTTAACAATTGGGGCACATGGGCTTAGCTGCTCCGCAGCACGTGGGATTTTCCCGGATCAGGGATCGAACCGACGTCTCTTGCATTGGCAGGCGGATTCTGTACCACTGAGCCACCAGGGAAGCCCTCAGTACATTTTAGCTAGGAGTTTTTTGGCTTCTGTTGGCAAAAGCTGGACAGGAAGATGTCTGGTTTTAGCTCCTTTTCCTGGCTTTTTTGGATCTGTGTGTATGTGATTTACAGTGTTGTGTTAGTTCTTCTGTACACCAAAGTGAGTCGGTTACACATTTATATATGTGTGTGTGTGTGTGTGTGTGTATGTGTATGTATGTGTGCTAAGTCGCTTCAGTCGTGTCTGACTCTCTGTGACCCTGTGGACTATTGCTTGCCAGTCTCCTTTGTCCATGGGATTCTCTAGGCAAGAATACGGGAGTAGGTTGCCATGCCCATCTCCGGGGGATCTTCCTGGTGCAGGGATTGAAACTGTGTCTCTTACATCTCCTGCACTGGCAGGTGGATACTTTACCACCAGCACTACCTGGGAAGTGCACGTGTGCACACACACGCACACATATTTTTCATATTCTTTTCCATTATGGTTTATCACAGGATATTGAATATAGTTCCCTGTGCTATTCAGTAGGGCCTTGTGGTTTATCTATCTTATGTATGTATGTGTGTATATATATATGTAATAGCTTGCATTTGCTAATCCCAAACTCTAACTTCATCCCTCCCCAGCCCTTCTTCCTGACTTTGTTGATTCAAGAAACAGGACTGCAGTGTACCTTCAAAGCGATTCCTATCCAGCTAGCTAACCTCCATGCTCTTTTCCTCCCTCCCTTTCTTTTAAAAATTCTGTTGTTTAAACAACTGTAGGCTTTTCTCTGTTCCTGCTGTGTTCTGAGTCAGGAGTTCAACAGAGCTGAGAGGGGTGAGCTGCTGATAACCGCAGCACCAGGGTGATGGTACCAAAGCCTCTAATCACTGTGATGGCACAGGTGAGAACCAGATGCTGAGGAAGGTGCCAGCTTCCTGTTACCTTTTCCTGAGGAGTGAATGGTGCCCTGGCCATGTGTGGGCAGCTCAGCACGGTTGTGGAGGTGTCTTGCCCTCACTGCCCGGGGAGCCGTGAACAAAAGCTTCTGGCAGGTTTATGGACTTGGGGGTTAGAAGGAGGGGAAGAGGAGGTGGAAGTGGAAAGTACAGGATCCTGGGTCAGAGTAGGGACAGTGTCTTCAGGTTCCCTGCCCTCCCCCATCCCACTTTGCCCTGCCACCACACGGGGATTTTAGTGAGGTACCCAAGAAAGGCCTGTGCCAAAGGCTCCAGGTAGAGACATAGGACGCCCCTCACCCCTCGAGTCTGTGGGGAGAGCACAGGCTGTGCTTCAGGTCTGGAGGTGGAGGTGGGGGCAGCATCACCCAGGAGGCCTGGGGATAACCCCTTGTGACCTGTGGTGAGACCTGAGCATTCACATGTAGGTTTTTAACCAGGAGCCAGACTCCTCAGTTCCACTGCTTGATTTTTCCCACCTGAGTGAGAAACAGGCTCTCCCATCATGTACCTGAACAGGTCAGACTTGGAAGGACTGAGACAAGAACCAGGGAATTGACTTGGGGCAGCAGCAGACAGGGCCCTGAGGAAAACCCTGGAGCAGGGTGATCGGGACTGCCTCCCAGGTGGTCTCAGCTGTTTCTCAATCAGGAAGGCTTGTCTCAGTCCATCAGGAGGCTTCTTGAGTTGCTTTGTGAGTCTTTTGTGATCTGGCACAGGACAGCAGTTCACTTAGCACAAGCCCGGGAAGCAGGTGGAAGCTGGCTGGAATGCCTGCCTGCGGGGCTGAGACAGTGGCTTTCCCATGGCTGGGAGTACACACCAGGACTGCAATCCCAGAGTCCCCAAGCAGGATACATTTTCATCAGGCAGTGAGGTTAAACAGGGCCTCTCTGTGGGCCTCCCAGGACATCAGCCTAGTCTGAATAATTTAGTTCAGTCCTTGGTTTGTGAGGGACTGTCTGGGGTGCTTAGTTCCAAGCTGTTTGTCCCGGACCCACCACCTCTTGGGGTGCCAACCGCTCCCAGGCTGTGGTGTCTGGGAAGTGCGGGGGCCAAGGTCACCCTGTGCTGCTGGCCAGCAGCCCCATTAGGACAGGAAGGCCAGGAACGTGTCAGTCTGCATCCAGACAGAGCAACACAGGAGTTGTTTCTTTGTTTTTTTCCCCAGGAGGAAGGAAAAGCTCTAGGAGCAGGTCTGAAAAACAAAGATCATTAATATCCTTCTCCCTCCCCTGTGCCTCTCCTGGTGCTGGGCTTTATTTTCTTTTCTCTGTTATCAGTGCGTTCCATTTGATAATCAAAACTTTAAAAGAAATCGTCTTCTGTTTTCATCCAGACTCTGTCTGGAAAGGCCCTTTGTCCCTACACCGAGGGGCAGATATTTTTATATAATTTAACTGGAGTGATCATGTTTAAGAATTGGTTAGCAGAAACTCCTGAGATTTTAAAAGATTTAAAAATGGTTTTACATGGGCACTTCCCTGGCAGTCCAGGGGTTAAGACTTCATGCTCCCAATGTAGGGGGCACAGGTTTGATGCCTGGTCAGGGAACTGCTAGGATCTCACATACTGCACAACATGGCATAAATTTTTTTAATAATATAAATTAAAAAAATTTAAATAAAATGGGGTTACATGATCTCCCACTTGCTGAGTCTTCAGGACGGCGTGGTAGGGAGTGGAAGGCGCTCACAGTGGCTCCCACAGAGCCTGAGGTATCAGTGACTGTGAAAGGAGGACTATGATTGCAGACGGCCTCTCCAGGCATCCGGCACAGTGAGAAGGGCCCTCATGGGAGCTGCTGCACGGGGTCCCAGGCTGCACTTCTGAGCTCTGTGCTCCAGACTGGAGTTACCGTGACTTCTCCCATCAGCCCCTTAAGTCTCTCCTTAAACTGTTTATTAAGACACTCACTGAACCCCGCAGCAAATCTGGGGCTATGATCAGATGCAGTGAATTTGAAACCCAAAAAGGAAGTAAACTTGGTAAGATGGAGCCTGAGAGTGTGACTTGCATTGGGGGAACCCATGAGGATGGCCAGACCAGACCCCAAGAAAGTGTCAGGGTCCAGTAAAACCCTCTGGATGGGATGAGAAGCCCAGCGAGATCCACCTGTTGAGTACATCCTGGCACAGGAGCCTGTCCTGGGCAGTGTTTTCTACCTTGTCCAGCATCTGGAAGGCAAGACAGCTTTCCTCAATATTTCAGCCCCTTCTGACAACATGGTAGCACATGCATGTGGGCCCAGCCTGGGATAGTGTCAGTCTCCACAGCATCCTGTCCTGGATCCAGAAGGGGTTGAGCATGTCTCTTGCTTTGGACGGGGACAGTTCCAGACTCTTTTTAGTGAGCATCCACACAGCTGACATCAGTCTTATTAGGAACAGAACTTGGTTCCGTCCAAATGTGTCACCCCCACGGGGGGCTTGTTTTATATGTTTGAAGCTTGCTGTGGGGTCAACTGTAGTTCATGAGGCGAGAGACTCAGCGTCCTCAGCATGCCTCTGTGTTCCAACCCTGACCGTGGCAGTCTCCACAGTCTCCATCACGGCTGGGGGTGGAAGCCAGCAGGGGCACACAGACACTGCATCAGTGCCAGTTGCACACTCGGTAGTGGGGCCCAGGATAGTTGTCTTTGGAGCTGGTGGCACCCTTAAGGCTGGGTGTTGGGTTTGGGGTGGGGGGGGCAACTTCTGCCCTATGACCTGTCAGGTAGAGCCTTTGTAATTGCTTGTGGTTAAGCCTGAAAAATTCTGAGCCAGAGTTCTTACACGAGTTTTAAAACATGTATAAGTTCATGTAATTAACCTCACAGTCAGGACTCAGAATAGTTCTCTCTCCCGAAAGAGTCCTGGGTGTCACCTTCCTGCATCCCTTACCTCTGGCAATAACTGATCTGTTCTCTGTCTCCATAGTCTTGCCTTTGCCAGAATGTTAGATAATGTAACCATGAGTGTATAATCTTTCATACTGACTTTTTTGCTCATTCTTCAGTAGTTTGTCCCTTTTTCAAAAGATGCAAACTCCCTGATGGATTTCAGGGAAAAGTTCTTTTCTTTTTCTTTTAGCTGTGCTGGGTCTTCGTTGCCGCAGGCTTTTCTCTAGTTTTGGAAAGTGGGGGCTACTCTCTAGTTGCAGGGCAAAGACTTCTCACTGTGGTGGCTCAGAGCACAGGCTCTAGGTGCACAGGCTTCAGCAGTGGCAGCTCCCAGGCTCTAGAGCACAGGCTCTGTAGTTGTGGTGCACGGATTTGATTGCTCCTTGGCATATGGGATCTTCCTGGATCAGGGATTGAACCTGTGTCTTGTGCATTAGCAGGCAGGTTCCTTACCACTGAGCCACCAGGGAAGCCTGGTTTGTCCCCTTTCATTGCTCAGTGGCTTCACACAGTAGGGCCCATGTGTGGAGACACTGGTTTCCTGCTCTGTTCACTGGTGCACGAAGTCCTGGTTGCCTCCAGTTCTTAATAGGCTGTGTTCATCTGCATATAGGTTTGAACATAAGTTTTTGGGTGAGCATAAGTTTTCAGTTTGGGTAAATACCTACGAATGGTCTTGCTGGGTTATGTGGTAGGTCTATGTTCAGCTTTATGAGAAGCTGTGAAAGTGCCGGGGTCCCTGCCCTGTGTTCCCACAGCATGAGCGGGAGTTGCTGTAGCTCTGCGTCCTCACTGTCATTTGTCAGTTCTGTTACTTTTTCATTTTAGCCATTCTGATAGGAATGTCGTAGCAACTCAGTGTCACTTTAATTTGCATTTCCCTATTGACAGATGATATTGAACATTTTTTCATTTATTTTCCATCTTACATCTTTTTTGGTGAAGCATGTGATAAGATCTTTTGCCCATTTTTTAAATGATGTTACAGTTTTAGTGCTGTTAAGTCCCGTTAACATGCTTTCTCAGATAAGTGATTTGCAACCTTTTTCACCTAGTGTGCACCTTGTCTTTCCTTTCTCTTAACGGTGCCTTTCATAGAGAAAAAAATACTAATTTTGAAACAGTTCAGTTTTATTAATTATTTCTTAAATGGACTATGTGTATTCAGTGTTATATCTAAAAATTCATTGCCAAATCCAATCACCCAGGTTGTCTGTTGTTTTCTCCTAGAAATTTCATTGTTTTGTGTTTTATTTTTAGGTCTGTGTTCCTTTTTAAAAAAAAAATCTATTTATTTGTTTTGGGCTATGCTGGGTCTTTGTTGCTGTGTGGGCTTTTTTTCTAATTGTGTTGAGTTGGGGCTACTCTGTAGTTATGGTGCATGGGCCTCTCATTGCGGGTGTAGTTATGGTGCATGGGCCTCTCATTGCGGTGGCTTCTCGTATTACTGAGCACAAGCCCTAGGGCTTGTAGGCTTTATAGCCTGAGCACGTGGGCTCAGTAGTTTCAGCTCCTGGGATCTAGAGTACAGGCTTTATATTTGTGGCACACAGGCTAGGCTGCCCCATGGTATGTGGAATCTTCCTGGATCAGGGATTGAACCAATGTCTCTTTCATTGGCAGGCAGATTCTTTATCACTAAGCTGCCAGGGAAGCCCTGTGATTCTTTTTGAGTTGATTTTTTGATAAGGTGTAGTGTGTGTCAAGGTTTGTTCTTTTGCTTGTGGGTATCCACTTACTTTAGCTCACGTGCTGAAAACTCCCTGCTCTGAGGAATTGTATGTGCACCTCTCAAAAGCCAGGGAGCTTGCCTGTGGGGGTCCACTTCTGGGATTTCCATTCTTTTCTGGTGACCTACATCTGTAACCTCTCACTGATACCACCTTGTTATTGTGTGCATTTGTAGGAAGTCCTGAAACCAGGTAATGTGAGTCCTGCAATGTTGCTGTTCTGTTTCCAAATTGTTTTGGATATTCTGGTTCCTTTGCCTTTTATCCCCATACTCTGAATGTACTTGTATCATGGCCTCTGTAATGCCTTATTGCCCCTGGCCAGAAAAGACTGAAAAGTATAGGAGAATATGATGTTTTTCTCCTTATCTTTATATTTCTAGCACCTGTCATAGTTCCAGGCCCCTTAATTGCTGAAAAAAACATGCATTCTAAAGTATAGCTAGTTCCGACTTCAGACCAGAACTGCTCAAAGGGAGGAGAGTGTTCTAGAAAGGTTGATGTGATTTTGGTTCTGACAGTGACTGAGAACCATTCCTGTCACTTAGCAGGTAGTGAGCTGGCACATTGTGAAGGCCTTGCACCGTATGGGGCAGACGTGCTCAGCTAAGTGATTTAGTTGCTCAGTCTTGTCCAAGTCTTTGTGACCCCATGGACTGTAGCCCACTAGGCTCCTCTGTCCGCCGGAGTGGTTTGCCATTTCCTTCTCCAGGTAATCTTCTCGACCCAGGGATCAGACCCATATCTCCTGTGTCTCCTGCATTGCAGGCGGATTCTTTACCCACTGAGCTCTTGGGGGAGCCCTTGCTCAGCTAAGAATTGTTCCCAGATCCCAGTGGCACCTTCTTTGAGAAACACTGCTTGTTTAAAAACAGCCTATTCCAACTTCTTATCCTATGGGTAGATGGGTGGATAAGTTTATGAATTCATAATGATGCATATTTTAATAACTCTTTTGTTTTCTGTCAGAGTATAATAATGCAAGATTAGGATATCATTTTACTGTATAGAGAAAATTATCCCAAATCTCAGTAGCTGAAGTTTAAACATTTATCTCAGTTTCTGTGAGTTAGGAATCTGCCGGTGGCTCACCCATTTGGTTCTAGTGGAGAATCTCACATGACCCTGTCTTCAAAATGTTGAGAAGGGCTGTGGTATGAAGGTAACATCCTTCAAGCTCACTCACATGGGTGTTGGCAGACCTCTGGTCCTTGCCATGTAGGCTTGTCCACAGAACTGCCTCACCACGTGGCCCCTGGGCTTCCCCCAAAGAGAGCAGGAGAGCGTTCCCAAGGTAGAAATCACATTCTCTTACAACCTGGTCTTGGAAGGGAGATCCTTACTTCCACCCTATTCCATTCAGTGGAATTGAGTTGATAAATCCAGCCTGTATTCAGGACATGGGGCAGTGTGGATTAAACAAAAGCATAATTCCAGGACCTGGAGATCATGGGTCCAGCTTTCAGGCCACCTGTTGCTGTAGAAAAAAAGCCTACATTCAGCAAAGAGAATGACTTCAGATTTAACAGGGATTATGCTTTTTTAGATATCGTTTGAAGATGTGGCTGTGAATTTCACATTGGAGGAGTGGCAGCTGCTTAATCCTACTCAGAAGACCTTGTACAGAGACGTGATGTTGGAGAACTATAGCAATCTAGTTTTATTGGGTAAGAACATTCTTATGTAGTACAGTGTGTACCCGGTAACTGGATATGCGCATACCTCTAAAATATTACTGACTTTGGATTTAAGTTTCAGATGTCAAAGAGTCTTTGATTTTGACACCCAAGTGAAAGGTTTTTTATTTGCTTGCTTTGTTTTATAGCCTCTGAGGTGAAATAGTCTTCATATTTAAGAGTCCCCTCATTCCAAGCAATTGGGACTCTCTGTGTTTCCAATTGACAGGTTATCAAGTTATCAAACCTGAGATGATCTTCAAGCTGGAACAAGAAAAGCCATGGTTATTAGATGAAGAAATCCTAAGTCAAAACTTCTCAGGTGAGAAATAATCAGCTTAGTGGCTGACAGAGAAAATTAAATCTCAGGTTTTTGATGATACATTGGTACTTTTGAAATGTTATTTGTAAAACTCAGGTTAAAGCTTCTCCATCTTTGGAGTTGACTCAGGACTCTGTGTCCTGGTCTCCACATCAGGATGTGTCCCCTTTGGTGGAGCTCTCAGGTTAAAGCTTCTCCATCTTTGGAGTTGACTCAGGACTCTGTGTCCTGGTCTCCACATCAGGATGTGTCCCCTTTGGTGGAGCTGGTCATGAAATGTGCTTGCGTTCTTGATCAGACCTTTCTTTGAGTTTCCCCAGTTGACTTTTTCTTCTCTCCTGCCCCAGTCCCACCTGCAGAGGTACGCTTCTTTTCTCCTATTTAAGAATTCATAATTTTTTTCCTGTTTTAGGTGATGCTGTTACCTTTGAATTTCCTTTATTATTTTTCTTTTCATTCCCTAATTTATCAAATTTCTGTTTCAAACCCACGTAGAGTAGATGGTGAGTCCATGGACAGAGGATAGAAGTCTAATGCCTAAAAGCATTCTTCTTGCCTCCTTGCAGATAAGAACTTCAGGGTCAGCGTCCAGGACGTCTTTCTGGTGCCTTTGGTATTTAGCTTCTAAAGCTTCTTGTTTATCCCTTCAAATAGTCTGTGGGGGTTTAAGACTTGCTGTGTGATATTTTGCCTGCATTTGAGTTGAGGACCCTCACAGTGTGGCAGCATCTTATCTGTGCAGTTTTTTCCTGTGCCCAGAGGTCACAGTTGACTCCAGTTGAAGAAATTCCTTCCTTGTGTCTTTCACATATGTTTCTCTGAATGTAGGCTTTTGTACGCACTTTTTCAATTAGACACCCTCCCCCTCTTTAAGCTCTCTTTTTTCACTTCCGCGGTGTTTCTTGACTCCCAGCCTTTCCTGAAATCTCTACCTACTGAGCAGTATTATAGGAACCTGGGCCTGATCATACATTATCTATAATTTCTTAACTAATTAGGTCTTGAGGTTTTTTTCCTACATAGAAAGATGGTAACTAACTTATTATTCTCAGTTCTCTATGACATTTATGCTGTGTAATTACTAAATATTTCATTAATTGGTTGTTGTGAGGCCAGGTAAAGCAGGATCCTACTTATTTATCAAATAATTTCTTTAGTACAAAGGTTTTCATCTAAGTAAGTGTTTCAGCTTATTTGGGACAATACTTCAAATTACAGATGTCTGGGTACCATTCATATGGATGATTAGGACTGGGTATGCATAGTTTGGAAAAGCTGTCAAGATAGACTTTATGTTCCTCCATTAATTTAGAACCACTGCTATTTTGTGAAATGAGAGGAGTTGAGATAAAGTATGAGTCATGAAATAACATTGCAGGGCCAGGAAATTTTAATTTAGAAGAAAATACAAAATAATTCATTGTTTGAACATGATGCATTTGTGTCAAAACGCAAAGTTAATTATCAGGATTAACTATATAGAAAGGAATTGCTTTAGAAGTTTAATAATAAGTGAATAAGGTTGTATTGAGGGCTTGTTATATACTATGTAGTGGGAGTACATCAGTGAAAAACTCAAACCTGTTCCCTACCTTCATTACATTCCAGTGGGAGAGGCAGAAGTAAGGTGATTACCTATCTGATAAGTGCTATGAAGAGGACAGAGTGTTTGTTAGTGTGCCCTTAAAATGATATGAAACAGGCATACTGGAAGCTGGGCAGGGAGAGGCTTTTGGGGTCAGTGGGGCAGGGAGGAACTCAGTGTTGTGAGAGGAAGTTGAGGGCTAGAAGGAGCCAGGCATGCAGGGGTGTGTATGCTGTGTTAATAGCACAGATTTATCAAAGGTTTTTAAGCAAGAGGTCAGAGTACATTTTCTAAAGATTGCTGTGTGGAGACTAGAATTGGGAGGGCATGAGCCTGGAAGTGGGAATATCAACTGAAAAACAGGATTAAATGAAGGCTGAATGGATCAGAGTGTAATGGAAACAGAGACGTGGGGAAACAGACCTGTACCCCTACCAAGGGTGATACTAGTAAAACATGGTCTATGTGTTTACCAAAGTGCCAAGATTTTTTAAAAATTTCTTTAATTTTTTTTGGTACAGTTTAACCTCAGTATGGTTTTATATCATTTAACTTATTAATTTGGATATATATCTTAGTCTTATTTCTCGATTTGAATTAAAATTTATTTTTCTTTACTCTTACATTTCATGAAACAATTTTTTATAAACTCTTCAAGAGTATCTCACACTTACATGTCTGTGAGACATATAAGTGTCTCACACTTATATGAGATACTTATACAAGTAGTATCTAACTTCCCTCTCTAGTCTTTAAAATGCCCATGAACAGTGTTATCATCTTGTACTCACTGAAGCTCAAAATGTTGAATCTTTTTTTTCTCCTCCATATCCTCCAGCTCTAGTTAGCTCTTCCTCTGAAATTCTGATATATCTGAGAGTTGTTAGATGGGGCTTTTTCCCTCCCCAGAGAAATTATCCTACAAAAAAGGAGTGATTGCTTTATATTTGAGATCTTGCCATATTTTTTTCATCTTGAGAGTATTACCTCACAATTCCTAGTAAAGAATATCATAAAGTAAACAGGCTTAAAAGATCATTAAGGGAGATCACAGATAACTGTACTTACAGGGTAAAAAAGAAAACTGTCCTAATGTTATGCAAAGCATACTTGTGGTTTCAAGTAATTTACATCATATACAGATTCAGTATATAGATGATGATTCATTTAAAGTATCAGAAACCTTAATAAAGGTGTTGATGGTGAGCTCTGGAGAACTCTTAGATAATTCCAAAAAGTAGTTCTCATGATGGTGAAATTAACAGATATCAGTGATTTGGATGATGATTTTGAATGAGGATGCTTTTTGAATGTGCTGATAGTACAGAAAACTAACATATCTCACCTTTTAGACATGAAAGTTGATATCCTGTGTTTGCTGTCATTGAATTCAGTGTTTCTTCCTGTGTGACATTCAGCACTATGTACTAATCTTGCTTTTCTCTGTCCTGTGATACTCAGTCTTCTCTCATGGGAGTACCTACTTGCCTTTTTCTGATTTCTGCTAATAATGTCTGGGCATGTAGAAGATAATCAGGTTATTGTGGAATGAGTACAGTGTTTGATTAGAAATTGCTTGTCTTTTTTATCTCATCATGATCACTTGAATATATTTCACCTTTATTTTAAAGTTTGTGTTTATAAACATTTGTAATTTCAAAATCTGTTTTCATTTCTATTAAAAAGTTCAATGCCTAATGAGTAGATATTGTATTTGGGAGAATTTTTTTTTTTTTAAATGGACTGGGCTCTTAGGCTCCATTTCCAAAGATTTGTTCAATAAGCTTAATGATTAGGGAAATTTACACAGTATGGTTCATTTCTTCCTTTTTAGAAAAAGTCTGGCTAGATAATGATCTCAAAATGTGGCACCAGGATAATCAAGACAAGCTTAAAAGTTTGGAGAGAGGCCATGAATATGACATCTTTGAGAGAATGTTTCATTTAGGCATTAACTTTGATCATTTAGGAATGAGATCCCATAAATGTGGCACAGGTGAAGAAAGTTTGAAACATCCTTTTGATTTTCTTATTCCAAAAAGTAACTGTGAAAGAAAGAAACTTGATGAGCTTAATAGGAAATTATTATTTTGTATTAAACCTCCCAGAATTTATGGTGGAATAAAATACTCTGATGGCAATACATGTACAACAGTCATCAGTAAAGAGCCAGGAGTCATTATGAACCATATACCACTCACAGGAGTCTGTTTGTGCATGGAATGTGGCAAGGTTTTTAATAAAAAGTCACAGCTCATTATACATCAAAGAACTCATACAGGAGAGAAGCCCTATGGATGCCAGGACTGTGGGAAAGCTTTCTCCCAGAAGTCATTGCTCACTATTCATCAAAGGACGCATTCAGGAGAAAAACCATATGGGTGTGGGGAATGTCAGAAAGCTTTCAGTAGGAAGTCACTGCTCATTTTACATCAGAGAACTCACACAGGAGAGAAGCCCTATGGCTGTGGTGACTGCGGGAAAGCCTTCAGCAGGAAGTCACAGCTTAAAAGACATCAGGTAACCCATACGATAGAGAAACCCTATGGCTGCAGTGAGTGTGGGAAAGTCTTCTCCCAGAAATTAAAGCTCATTACACATCAGAGGACACACACAGGAGAGAAGCCCTACAGATGTAGTGATTGTGGAAAAGCCTTCTTTTGGAAGTCACAGCTTATTACTCATCAGAGGGTTCATACGGGGAAGAAGCCATATGCATGTAGTGAGTGTAAAAAAGCCTTCAGCAGGAACTCACTCCTCATTAGGCATCAGAGGATCCATACAGGAGAGAAACCCTATGAATGCAGTGAATGTGGTGAAGCCTTCATCAGAAAACCACAACTTGTTAAACATCAAATGACTCATACAGGAGAGAAGAACTATCAGTGCAGTAATTGTGAGGAAGCCTTCTTTAAGAAGTCAGAACTAATTAAACATCAAAAAGTTCATTTAGGAGAAAAACCCTATGGATGTGTTGAATGTGGCAAAACCTTCTTTGGAAAGTCACAGCTCCTGACACATCAAAGAACTCACACTGGAGAGAAACCTTACGAATGTAGTGCCTGTGGGAAAGCCTTCACCCAGAAGTCCAGCCTGGTGTCCCATCAGAGGACACATACAGGGGAGAAACCTTATGAATGCAGTGAATGTGGGAAAACCTTCAGTGAGAAGTCAAGTCTCATTCACCATCAGAGAACCCATACTGGAGAAAAACCGTTCGAATGTGGTGAATGTAGGAAAGCTTTTGCCTGGAAGCCACAGCTTCTTAGGCATCAGAGAATTCATACAGGGGAGAAACCCTATGAATGCAGTGAATGTGGAAAGGCATTTGTTCAGAAAGTACAGCTCATTAAACATCAGAGAAATCATACAGGAGAGAAGACCTATGGATGCAATGATTGTGCAAAAGCTTTCTTTGAGAAGGCACAGCTCATTATACATCAGAGAATTCATACAGGAGAGAGACCCTATAAATGTGAGGAATGTGGGAAGTCTTTCACTAGGAAGTCACACCTTATGAGGCATCAGAGGATCCATACAGGGGATAAGTACTGTGGATGCAGCGAATGTGGGACTGTCTTCCACAGAAAGGCACAGCTCCTGATTCATCAGAGAAGTCATGTGCTGTAGACATGGGGTGAGTGTGGGGAGTCTGCCATCAGATGGCAGGCCCCTGACACTCCAAGGACATGTATGGGAGGGAAACTCTGCCACTGCAGTGACTGTCTCACCACATAGAATTTAGAAAGAGAACCTTCTTTTTTGTTAAGTAGGTGGTATAGGAAAGTCTCCTCCCAGGAAACACAACTTGTGACTTATCAATGGCTCCTCAGTGTGAAACTCTTATCAGTATTGTGATAAGTATAGACCTTTCAGTCAAAAGTGCTGGGCTATTAAATTTTAGAAGACTGAAACAGGAGAAAAACTCAATTGTTGTAACAAGTGAGTGAAAATTTCATTGGGAAATGGTAGCTCAGAGTATGCTAGAGAATACATACCCAAAGGAAATAACTGAGTATTATATACTAGAGGACTCATGCAGAGGAGTAGTCCTAGTACTTTGAAGAATTTGATAAGCATGATCCCTGTTGAAATAATTCTTTAAGGAGGTTATGTTTACTGTACATAAGTTATTATAAGAAAACAGGCATTTTAAAGTGGTAGCTGTGTTTGAAGTGTGAAGACTTCTGCTTTCTGCTAGGGTGGTAAAATAAGAACCACATAAACTCTCCTGCTTTAAACAGCTAGAAACTACCATTTATGAAATAGTGGTTTTTAGACGTATGTCAAGTGCAAGTTTATGATCCCTGGCAGGAGGTGGACAAAGTGAGGACAGCCCCACGGCTGCCCAGCCTACTCCCCGGGGGCATTGTCAAGGCTGCAGGTCAGGGAGTTGAATGAACATGGTCTTGCTGAACTGAAGAGGGTTTCTGAGTCGGCATTTGAGGAGCCTCGGTAGCTAGAATTTGCAGATGAAGGGTGCTGGGTAAGAAGGAGCTTCCCAGAGAGGAGGCTGCATAAATCCTCAGTGAGTCCCTCTTGAGTATTTGGCTTTAGTCCTTATTAGCCTGTGTGTGGAAGAAAACTGAGACTCTGAGAGCAGCTGCGCAGCAGGGAGCTAAACAAGCCCTGGGGCTTAGCATAGGCTGGGACAGTGTGTGTTCCCACCAGCCACTTGCAGGCAGCTTTTTGCACGGGGTCATCAAGGGGAGTTCCCAGAACAGTGTTGTCTTGGGGAGGGTGGAGAGTCACTTAACCTAGATTAAAAGCTACTCTGGACCCGCAGTGTCTGACATTCAGAAACTTCCCTGGCACACCAAGAGGCAGGAACATATGACTTGTAACTACAAGAAAAATCAGTTAATATAAAGAGGAAAGACTGAATTGATGGGAATTAGTAGACAAGTATGTTCAAATAGCTTTTGTAAGTATAAAGTAGAAGAAAACATGAATTTGATGAAACCTGAAGTGTAAGATATACTTTTAAAAGCTCAAATGGAACTTCTCAGGTTGAAAACAACTCTGAAAAATAAAAAATAAAAAAACCCCAATGGAATTAAGAACATATTAGACATAGAAGAAGGAAAGAAATCAATGGATTTGAAGAGTAAGAATGAAAATTATCAAATGATATACACAGAGAATAACACTGGGGGGGGAAAAGGAGCACAGGAAATTAGTTAAAGTGGTGTAATATACATGTAATGAAAGGTCTAGAGGAGAGAAGTGAGAGGGGGCAGAAAAGGGATTTGAATAAATGATGGCTGAAAAATACGCACATATGATGAAAAGTATAAACGCACATATTCAAGAAGTTCAAAGAACCCAACACAGAAGAAACATAAAGATGCCAATGAACATCACAGTCAGTTGATGAAAACTGGAGTTAAAGAGAAGAATTGTTGGGAATTCCCTGGTGGCCCAGTGGCTGGGAGTCTGCCTTCCAATTCAGGGAGTGAAGTTTCGATCCCTTGTCGGGAAACTGAGATCCCCCGTGACGTGTGGCACAGTAAAAAAAAAAAAAAAAATTTTTAATTGAACAATTGTAAAATGCCTGGAGAAAAAAGGACAAGACACACCCACAGAGCAAAGAATAACAATATACTTCTGGTCAGAAACTATGCAAACTATAGACAGCAGAGTGACACTGTTAAATTACAAAAGAAAATAAACAACCTCCCCTGCCCCACAGCCTGGAGTTCAATTGCTTGTCAAAAACATCTTTCAAAAATGAAAACAAAAAGGACTTCAAAAAAGCAAAATCAGAGAGAGTCCCTGCCGTCAGGAAACATTGAAGGAAGTTTGGGGACAGCAGGAGAACACTCTGGAAATGAAAGGTTCTGGAAATGGTGAATGCATGGATGAATATGAAAGATTTTTTTCTTTATTTTAAAATTCTTTAAAAAGGTAATGAACTGCTTAAAAACCAAAGTAATGACAGCGTACTTTGGGTTAAGATCTACTTAGAGGTAAAGTGCTACAGTAGTACTTAAGTACGAATCTATAAAGATAGTTGAACAGACTTGTGTTGTCTGAGTCAGAGATGTGGGATGACTTGTATCTATAGCAGCTACATGATGAAAAGTGTCTGTATTATGGATCTGTACATGTGCTCATGTTCTGGGTGTTTTCCATGTCCACACCATTTTCCTCCTTTCTCTGTGTGCCCAGAGGGAGTGCACTGCTTCCTAGGATTTCTGCTTAGGTTTGGACAGGCGAGGTCTGTGTCACCCCTGCCTCTCTCCTGCTGGCACACATCTGGGGGTGTCTGTCCATGTGGCTGAAGCTCCCATGTTCACCACAGACCCTCCCCCTGCTCATCAGACATAAGGGTGTTAACTGCTTCTGGGGGCTTCACCATCCTTGGTTGATTTTCTTAATTCTGGACACAGTTCTGTAAATAGTCTGTTTATTAAATATTCTTGAGTTAATAATTTTGAGTATAACGTTTGTTACAAATGATGAATGTTTGACCACATTTTGAGTATCAGTTACTGGTCCATGGGGCATAGGCTGACATCTGTTGAGATGTCTCACACTCAAGATCAGTATTTTCTCTTTGTGTTTTAATAAATCAGTAAAAATTATAAATTCTTTATGTGTTTTGTTTTGCTGCAAACATAAATGACTCTGGAGATTGTTACCATCTGCTCCATATGCTGGTGGTCTTGCAGCAATAGACTGAAACATCATGAGGTCTTTGTGCTACCTCTGGGTTGGTTGAATTTACAAGAAAGCATTTTTATTTTTGTTAAATATGTATGGACAAGAAAAAGGTAACCCATTACTGAGTGAAGAAAGAAAGGAATGATGTACTATACTTTCCTGTACTCATTTTAAAAACTTGTGCTGTGCAATTAAAATACTCTTATTCCATATTTGGCTTTTTTTTTTTATTATGTATAATTCACATAGTCTGTCATCTATACACATGATTTCCCATTTCAGGATTCAGAATCATCACCCCCAGAGAACCTCTTCAAAGGCTCCATACTAGATTCCATCACAGACACCATGCCAAATTGAAAATCAACTTTTCTAAGATTAAAACAGAGGTTCTTCAGGTATAGATTCATGTGTTCCTGTGTATGTGTGTGTGTGCGCACGCTCAGGTGTGACTCTTTGTGACCCCATGGACTGTAGCCTCCCCAGGCGCCTCTGTCTATGGGATTTCCCAGGCAAGAAAACTGGAGTGGGTTGCCATTTTCTTTTCCAGGGGATCTTACCAACCCAGGGAGTGAACTGCATAGGCCGATGGATTCTTTATCCCTGAGCCACTTGGTAAGCCCTAGCAGAAGCATGATAAGTTAGGCTGAAGCAGACTGTTAAAGAGGCCAGCATAGACCCAATGTAGCACCCTCCCTGTCATTTATCAGATATCTTTTTTCACCCAGTCATTCTCTCCTACTGCACACAAATGGCTTGTCTGTAATAGTGCTCTGTAACCTGTTTATGATAGTGAAATGGTTTCCCCCATTGAGATTCTCCCCGACCCTTTATTGGCCACATAGTGAAGGGAAAAGCCCTTCTCACTCTGATTATCTTAGAAAATTCTGTCTCCTGATGTCTGTCTATAACTTAGAAGCAGGCAGTGTGACCTTGATATATCATGAGTAGCTCAGAAGAATGAAATGTAAGTTAAGGTATGCTTTTCTTCCACATGGCATGGATTCCTACCAACACTGCAAGCTCAATCTCCATATCAAGTCACCTTGGTAAGTAGTGGATTTGTTCCAGGGCCAAGTCTGCAGATTTGGTGATACTATATGATTATTCTTTATTTTCTCTGTGGGCTCTTTGTAGCTTTTTTCACAATTATTACACAATTCATCCAGGCAGTCTTGACATCTTGTTATCAAGACTCTTTTAAAATGCTAAGATTAAATACACTAGGAACAAGTTTACTTAATGCCTGAATACCACATCATTATATTTAGATATTTGTGCATGTGTGCTCACTTGCTCAGTTGAGTCTGACTCTTTGTGACCCCATGGACTGTAGCTCTCCAGGCTGTTCTGTTCATGGGATTATCCAGGCAAGAATACTGGAGTAGGTTTACCATTTCCTCCTCCAGGGCATCTTCCTGACACAGGGATAAAACCCATATCTCCTGCATTGGCAGGTGAATTCTTTACCCCTGAGCCACCTGGGAAGTCCCCAAATCATTAAAGGTGCCCGGCAAAGATAATGTCTCTGTGAAGCAGTGACTGGTGAGATGAAAAGGAGAGAGAAACACAAGTGAGGTGACGTTTGTAAATTGAAGGTCCCAATTAAAGCACTACTGTCATTTAAATTGTTCATTAAAAAACACATCAAGCTCAGACTCACAAAAAGATGTGCAAAGTGGATTAACTTTCATGTGCTTGTTAGAGACCACGTGAAGGGAACAATGAAACCAGAGATGCCGGCACTGCAGCCATCCAAAGTGGTATGGATGTGTCCCCAAACCATGACATCACCAGACAGTTCTGAGTGCCAAAGCAAACTGTATACTTTTGTCCTCCTGGGTATAGCAGATGAATAGAAAGCAGAGTGCATCCAGTGATGGTGATGTCTACAGTCAGGACCGTGTGCTCCGGTGCGAGGGTGGGGTCAGTGGTTGATGATGAAGCCAGTCCGCTGCCCCTTG